TCTTAGCACACTTCTGCATGTGCTTAAGCCCTGGATGGGTGTGCCTACGTTGCTTGGCCCTGACCCAAAAACGAATTCGTTAGAAAGAGGACACAGTATAATGTCTTATTTTAACGAATAACATGTTCTCATTCTATATGTCCAGATAGGAAACAATGGTTCCGAAAAAATCGGATCGTCTGGACAAAGCATTTATTACAACGTTCTGCTTCCCTTTAATAGTCTTAAATTCAAAGTCAAACGTATCAATGAATGCAGACCATTTCAAAAATTTGTCGGAGTGCCGTGGTTGAGTCCTTATCCTTTTCAGAGTTGAGTGGTCTAAGTAAATAGTGAAGTGTCATCCGAGCAAGTAATGCTTCCATGTGTCCATTATCGTAACTAAGACATACAATTCTCTTACCAACGTAGAGTTTGTCACCTTGTTAGACGAAAGATATTTGGACATAAACTTAATGGTTCTATATCCATTGTCGCCATCTTGTTGTACCACAACCCCAATCTCATACTAACGAGCATCGGTCGTAACAATGAGAGGGGGAGAAGGATCAAAAATTTTCAAGATAAAACAGTGAGTTAACACATTTTTAGCTTCTTAAATGCAGACTCACAATCTTTGTCTCATAACCACTGGTTTTGTTTCTTTAACTATTCACTCATAGGAGTAATAATAAGTGAGAAAATTCTTATAAATTTCTTGTAGCAACTAAAAAGTCTTATACAAAATCTAAATTTCATGACAATCTTAGGTTTCCAAATCCCTAATTGCCATTATGTTTTTTTCTTAAGGCCTTAATCCTTCTTCGTTCACTTTGTGTCAAAGGTATAGTACCTCGGGTTAAGCAATCTCATATTTCTTAGGATTCAGTTTATAGTTGCACTTTGGCAACTTCTTTAGAACCATTTCCAAGTGATTCTCATGTTCCTCAAGTGTCTTACAATACATGAGGGTGTCATCGAGATACACCACTACGAAAAACTCATTCATACACCTTTGAAAAGTAGTAGGTATGTTAGTTAGCCCGAACGGCATAACCACAAAATCGTAGTGTCCATACCTGATTCGGAATGCGGTCTTTTGTTAATCTTCATGTGTCACATACGTGACACACGCGGCCTAGGCCGCGGGTATTTCGGCCGCTGCGACCGAAAAAGTCGGTCGTGACCAACTTTGGTCGAAAAAGGGCCTCGGCCGAAAAAGAATATTGAAAAATCGAGCCAAGAACAGAACATCACGTCGAGAGCTCGAGTGCCGGTGGCAGTTTTTTTCGGGGATGTGACATCTTGTCGTCCCCCGATCTCGCCTTCTCCTCCGCTGGCGATGGTCGGCGGCAGCATCGGAGAGTTCGTCGGTGACAAAGCCACGACAGATCCCCCGGAAGGTTTGACGTCGAGAGGTTCGTCGACACCAGGCGTAGAGGACGGTTGCGCGGACATGTGGTGGTTGCCCAGGATGTCATTAATAACTTCTTCGATGTCAATACGCACACTCGGTTTATTCAGGCTGGCCGCAACACTAGCGTCGTTAAACCGTTGTTGGAGATCGAGGGCAGACGTCATTGCTTCAACCTCATAGTCATCACGTTCTGCCGAAAGGCTTGTGACTACCTGTGTCTCCATACCCAGTGCCATGTCATCGTCGTCGTCGTCTTCCTCGCGATGTTCTCCGTACAACTGCCCGAATCCGTCAGACGACTCTCCAGATCTGTCATCGTCGTCGCCGAATGTCTGTTCGTCGTTTCCAGTTTTGAGTTCACCTTTTTCCCCATCATTCCCTCCTAGCAACCCAGCCAACTCCGTTTCTTCCCCTTCCTCTCCTTCCTCCCCTTCATCCTCTTCTCCCTCCCCTTCCTCCCCTCCTTCCTCCAATTCCTCCCCTATGTCTCCTTCCTCCCCTTCCTTCTCTTTGTCCATCACCTTGCCTTCTTCCCGTGCATGCAATCCAGCCAATTGGCCCGAACCCGTGTCGAATTTCGACGAATGCCCTTCCCGCTCGCCGCACGCAGCCCCTCCCGGCGGCACGACAATCTCTGGTTGGCCCCCCTTGCCTGAAGAAGTTCGGATCCCGACGAACTTCGCCGTCTCCCTGTCGCCGGGCCCTCCACACGTACCCTCTCGCTCCGACCGAAGCGGTTGGCGGTCCCCCGCAGGCGGCGCAGTCCCGTCCCTCACCGCACCGCTGTCCATTTTGGGATCACGACTCGCCACCCCCGCCCCTGACAAGCTCTGCGGGTCCGTCCTCTTCGTCCGCTCTGCAAGCATTGAAGTTCGGATCCCGACGGACTTGAACGTTTGGACTGAGCCAGCACGGAGAGCAACCAAGGCCGCCATCACCGAGCCGGCGGATGAAGTGGGCACGTCCGCTGACTGTGCCGAGCTTGCCGGACCGGGACCGGTAGACTGCTAACGCCCGAAGGCCTCCCCCGCCACCCTGCCGCTGCCTTTCGCTGTCGTGGTGTCGCCCTGAGACCCGCCCTCCGAACCAGGCGGGACTCCTTTGCCGCCACCAATCTCGTCGCCCTCGTTCTCCCCACCGTCCGGTCCCTGGGACCCTGTACTTACATGCGTCCCACTGGGAGGGGGGATTTTCCAGTCCACCCTTCCCTTCGAGGGGCTCCTATCGAGGTCGTAGTAGTCCTCCGTCAGCTCCAACCAGCACTTGTCCTGAAGTTTGGCGAACAATCGCCCGACTGTGGAAATGACGGACACATCTTCGGGTGCGAAAGAGTCATTCTCGGCCCTCACTTTCTGGAGGACCGCAATTCTAGCGACATCGAGGAAGTCAGACTTCGACCCGCGAGGGAGGGGCACCCATCCTTCGTCCGGGACAACGATGGCCACGATCCACTCACCCTTTTGAATCGCCGGCTGGATGACTCCTGGATGCCAGATCATGTCATGGCCCCAATGCGCCTCCGTGGAACGACTTTGAGGCTCAGGCAGGAAGTGAATGTTGGCATCCTTCCAAGACAGATGATCGGCCGGGATGTCAGACCCGGGACGCAGTGAGCGATGGCCGGAGGCCAGAGCTTGCATTCTCTGCAGCAACTTCATCGGGGTAGTGCCAGGCGCCGCTTTCGCCATCGGTGACACGAGGGATGTCGGGCTTGTTGACCGACCTGCGAAGGACGACCCTGTTGAATGCTGCCCGGGATGCGGGTCGTACTGCAGGTCGAGGCTTTCGGTGTCGCTGCCCTCCTCGTTCGAGGTCACGTCGAACTCGATGTCGGTGGTCTCCTCGTCTTCCGTGGAGATCAAGGAGGAGTAACTGCCGAACGTCAACTCCTCCTCCGACTCCACGAAGTACAGCGACTACAACCTCTCGAGGAAGGTCTTTGCGTTCATGTGGGAAGCGCCGTGGTAGTTGTCGAGCAGCGTGAACATGTGATCCTTGCGGCGCACGTACTCGACGTCAGTGTCTCTCTTGGGCCGCGTTTGCAGGAACAAGAAGTCGTATATCTTGTTCCGCTTCCTCGCACCCAACTTGAACCACATGTCCGTCTTGTTGTTCCACGCACGAGGGCGAGGCTAGTTGACGACCATGAACTCGCAAATGTGGGTAACCAAATTGACCTCGCTCTGGACGAGATCGATTGTAAATCGCAAGAGCTCGGAGTTCCCTTCCATTGCGATGACGTGCCATCCTGCCTTCACCAGTTCCCACACGGATCGCGCGTGTGGCTTCCCGAGGAAGCATACACCCTCCCCCTTCTTGGTGACAGACTCAAGAAGATTAACGAATTGCGCGGGGTTGCGTTCCATGTCCCTGTACACACTGCCCCGACGCGTAGGCCAGACATGCGACCAATCGCAAGGGTTGAACGGGATGTCGGACACATCCGTTTGCGTAACCTTCTGCGGCAGCCGCACTGCAGCAGCGGCAGCAGGCGACAGTTAATCCTCGTAGACGACTGACGTGTTAGCGCGCAAATCGTCGCCTTTGAAGAGTATGTACATCCGGTCGTCTTCCGTGTACAAATTATTCCCAACGGGGAAGCTTTTCTTTTGTTGACTCTTCCTCACCCTCTTCCCTTCCAGCAGCTTCACGAAAGAAAGGTGGTTCATGCTGGCCAGAAACGAGAGGTTCTGCTGCCGCGGGATGAAAACGACGAGCGTCCAATGCGACGGACACCACGTCTGAAGATGGGAATCCAGAGTGTCGAACGCTTGCGTTTTCCACAACTTCAGGTCCACCGGTTCGCAGAGATCGAGGACGAACGTGTGACTCTTTGTGGCAACCACCGCCTCCTTCACCTCCGCACACCTTGTATCTGCCTCCAAGGGGTCGTTGCCGAATGGCGCGATGGATGTCACGTCGCCCGTGTCTTTCCATTTTATGTGCAGAATTCCTTCGGCAAGCGCGATCTCGCGACTCTTCAGTCTAGTGCCAGTCAAAACGGACAGGACCTTATTCCTCCAGTCGACGGACAGCTTATTGTGACCGGCCAACTTCTCCGTCGCCTCAATGGATTGGTCGTCGTCGCAGCCCATGTAAGGCGGGCAGTCCTTGAACAACGAGGAGTCAATGACGTATTTCCTGCTCCCGTCCCACAACTCTGCATCCAAACCACGACTCTCAAACTGTTTGAAAATTGTGGACCTTGTTTTCAGGAACGGGCACCTCTGGCTCCAATCCGCGTCCGGCCGCTTCTCGTGCTTGAACTGGTAGTAGTTCTATAGACGCACCAGCACCCGGTCGCACTTCACCAAATGAACCATGTCCTGGACGCTCAGCTTCCCGAGCTTCGCCAACGCCGCAGAGCCGGCCTGGACCCAAACCACCTCGCAATCCAGAACCTTCTTCAGGACGCGACACTTCTTGTTGTCGGTCAGCGACTCCATCGATTTCCAACAATGTGCGTCTGGCTCAGGCACTTGTACGAACCAGTCGCCCTCCTCTTTCTTCTTTTTGCCTTTCTTTGTCGGCGGGTCCATAGGGACGTTGTACACGACCTCTTTCCTGCCCGTCTTGTCGTTCTCGACGTAGGCAACCCCGGGCTTCACATTTTTTACCTTCTTCTTCCGCATGATCCACTTTGCGCCATCGTGGCCGAGCAATCTACCAGTATCCCATTTATTGAAAAAGTCGACGGCCAGTTTGCATACGTTCTCCCCTGCCATCGCCAACGGGAAATAGGAACGCAGGGCAGCGCCTTGCTTCCTGATGGCGTCGTCGCCCTTCTGATCTGCCAGCGTCCACAAGTTGTTGTGCGGCGTCATATTGAGCGCGACTTCATGGAATTCACACCACTTTCGGACCTGAGCCTGTTTTCCGCTGGGGTTTCCCATAACAGCACACAAGCACCCGTCGCGCTTCCACTGCCACCTAATGTCTTTCATTGACAACTTCAGCTGTCTCGGGGGCGCCTTCAGGTCCTGCTTGTTGTCCTGGGAACTGACAAGGAAGTACCCTTCGAAGTCGTCATCCGAAAAGTAAAGCATTCGTGCAGGTCACTGCTCGAAATTGTATTTCCTGGCCACCTCGCTGCCGAGCAGCGACCTCGCTGTAGCCGCGTTGTGCTGCCCACACACCGCGTAGTAGTAGTATTGCCCCGCCAGCTCATCCCTCCATTCCTCTGGCCTCAAACGTTCTGCCTTGGTCCCCGGAGTCCGTTTATTAAGCCCCAGCGGTGCTAGCTTCAGGGTAGGCAAATCGTAAGACTGCGCTTTGTTTTCGAATGCCAACTGCATCGTTTCTTTGATCCCTTCCACGAGCACGGGATCCAAGGGCCGCTGGTTGTACAGGTCCTCCCACTCTCCGAGGTCGACGACCTGCGCAGGGCTAACCTCGAACTCCCTCTTTGTCCGAACGCCGTCTTTGTACTCGAGGAAGTACCTGGCATTGACGTCGATTGGAGGCCTTTCCGTCGGTGGAGAAGACGTTCCAGACGGAGGCTGCTTCTGTCTCGAAGCAGGTCGTTTGGCAACCTGCCGGCCCTCCTCCCCCTCGGTCCCCTTTCGTTTCTCTCCCGCAATCCTGGGGGCCTTGCTCTTCAGCTTCTTCGAAGAACCGACGAACTCGTCTGTGCGATCCCCCCTCCTCTTTTGCGGAGTGCCTTGCATGCCCAGGCCGCCTGCGGTCACCTCATCCACACTCTGGCCCTCGCTCGCCTCCAAGTCGACCTCCGAAGAGGCTGCCACCTTTCCTGTAAGTTCCGCACTCTCCCGTCGAACCGGATCTCCAATGTCAACCCCTAGAATAGACAACACCGACCGCCGCCTGTCCCTCAACGACGATGCAGGCCCCTCCTCCTCGCTATCCTCGAACTGTTCCCGGCTCTCGCCGCGGTGCAGCTGAATAGCCGGACCAGAACCCAGATCACCGCCCTCCGCCGCCGCCCCGCTTGACTCGCAACCGCCGCACGGCCTGAACGGCAACGAGAGCTCCAGGGAGGGGCCGACGTCGCAGGGGACGTCGAGAACGATGTTCTTGTCCTCCAGCTTGTCGAAAAACTCACGCGCCAAAACAAAACCACCCACGAGAACGAGTTCGCTGTAGAACGGGGTGTCCACAGCACCCGCTCCGAACCTCTCACACAATTCGAGGTCCAACAACACCCCTTTCGAATTGGCAACGACGTTGCCTTTGGAGCCATAAACCTTTTCCATACGGAAATGTCGCCGGCCCCCCTTCGCGTCCTCCCACCCCAAGACGGCCCCAAGCACTCGACGCCTTCTGCCGTCATCGACGAAGATGACAGGACCACATGGCTGCGCAGTGGGGTTGGAAGCGTCTCCACAGCACCTGTCGATGAACCATTTCGACTTCGAATGGTTCGACCATCCTTTCGTGGCAGTAGACGACCTCCTCGTGGAATCTTTTCCGGATGTCTTCCCGGAGGTCCCCGTTGCCTCCACCTCGCCCTTTGAAGAAGACATCTTTGGTCGGTGTTCACATCTGCCGGCCGGCCGGCCACCCGCAATCATGTCCCACGACAGCTGGGCACCTCATGTTCGTCGTGATCAGAATTTGGCGAGACTGCGCAGGAGAAACAAAGCTGTCTCTCAAACTCGGCGTCCCAAAAGTTCTTGAAGTTCGCATCCCGGCGGACTTCACATTTTTAAGAATCCGAAGTTATGGCTATCCATCGGTCGTCAGAAAACCCCACAGTCAGAGCCCACACCACCCGAAAATTGCAGTACGCCTGGGTCCGAACTTGACGACCACACGAGGAACCTTGCACGAGAAGTTCTGATCCCAACGAACTTCGCATTCTCTCGAATCCGAAATTCGTCGGGATTCGAAATTGACGACTGTCCGAGGAACCGTGCACGCCGCACAGCAGTTTTAGATGCACGGCCCAGAAGGCCGGCTGCAAACACGAATTGCGAAAGGAGGAAATCTCAAGTTCGCCGGGATCCGAACTTGGCGAAATCGCGCAGGAGAGACACAGCTTGCGAACTCGACGATGGGACGAGGAACCGTGCGCGAGAAGTTTGGATCCCGGCGGACTTCGCATTTCTGCGAAACAAAAGTAATGGCAAACCACCGGGCGCGAGAAAGCCCACAGACAAAACCCACACCATGCGGGAAGCGAAGTTCGCCGGGGTCCGAACTTGACGAGTGTACGAGGAACCGTCCACGAGAAATTCGGATCCCGATGGACTTTGCGTTTTCACGAATCCAAAGTCCGCTGGGATCCGAACTTGGCAAACGTGCGAGGAACCGGCCACGCGAGGTTCGGATCCACGGGAGGGCAAGCGAGCCGCAAAAATGTCTGGCGAAAGGCGGGAACCTGTTGTTCGCCGGGATCCGAACTTGGCGAAACCGCGCGGGAGAGAAACAACCGGCGAACTTGACGACTGAACGAGGAGCCGTGCGCGAGAAGTTCGGATCCTTGCGGACTTCACATTTTTCGAATCCGTAGTTGTGCCAATCCCTCGGGCGCTGGAAAGTCCGCAATCGGAACCCACACAATGTGGAAAGCGAAGTTCGCCAGGGTCCGAACTTGACGTCCGTGCAAGGAACCGTGAAGGACAAGTCCGGATCTCGGCGGACGTCGCATTTTCACGAATCCGAAGTTCACCGAGGTCCGGAGTTGACGATTGTGCAAGGAGCCGTGCAAGCGATGTTCGGATCCACAGTCTAGCGGGCGAGCCGCAAACATGTCTTGCGAAAGGCTGGAACCTGAAGTTCGCCGGGGTCCAAACTTCACGAAACTGCGTGGGAGAGACACACCTGTTTGCCAAACTCGCCGTCCAACAAATTCTTGAAGTTCGGATCCCGACAGACTTCAAATTTTCACACGTCCGCGGCTGTGGTTGGGGTTCGGGGTTGCAAAGCGTGTTCGAACAGCTGCTCAAGCTCGCCCGAATCCGGACTTCTTCCGGTGTTTGATTGCGCGATCAGTTCGGTTGGCACTGTCAAGTTTGTGCTAGCGGATTAGGACGGTCATGTTCCGATGACGAGGACTGTACCGACGATGCGTGGGGTGGTGGCTGCTCCACGTTCGCCGTTCAGTGACCGTCAGGTGTCGATGACCCGACGTCCTCCAAAGTTCGACGTCCGACGAGGTTCGACGCCCGCCGAGGTTTGATGTGGAGCCGGGTTCGATGTTATACGACGTTGGATGTGCAACAAGATTGTGACGAAGTGCTTTTCTTCCGTTCCCAGATCGGGATCGACTTTCGATGTGCGACAACATTGTGACAAGGTTGTGTGATTTGTTCGTGGGTTTCGATCGTGCACATGATCATTTGCCTTGAGGATTTTTCGCGATCAATGTGCACAAAATAGTCGATTGGTCATGAAATTTGCCAGTATCAGCTGATTTATCGGCTGCTCAGTTGGGGGTTGGTGTGGTGGTTGATCAATCGCCAATCAATGGATCCAGGCAGAATACCTGACCAATCGACTGTTCAGTCCATGACTATCAGGTGGTTAGATAAACAGGTCGCTCGACGACGGGTTGCATCTCGCACAC